TAAACATGGAGCGCTGAGACACGAGGCGAACTCACAAGGTGTTCAGGAAGGAGAGGCAGGTGGTAAACAAGAGCTCGGAGCCGGTGGGGAAACAGGTGTTCAGGGACAGCGCCATCATTTTTTATTCACATTTGCATCTTATAAATATTTGATAAATTAATAGTTTCCCCCATCTGGTGTGTGTTCTGGGCTGCTGCTCCGGCGCCGGGATGTTCTCGTCGTTCCTGGAGGTGTCGAACAATCGGCGCGTTGCTTTGACTGACTGACTGGGTGACTAAGCGACCGGCTCGCTCAGCGGGATGCGTTCAGGAGGCGGCAGACGGGCCTTCGTTGAAGAGCGTTCCTTCCTGGTGCACTCTTCCCCGCCAGCGGCGCCCCTCTGATGTTTCGGCTAATTTGTGTACGCGACACAACGGCGAGGGGCGGGGCTGAACGGCGGAGCGGAGCTGTCAGTCATCCGTCTCATTCGCGCCGTTTTTTCAGGAAATGGTGTCACTCCAATAGTTTGTTAATTACCGCACGAGGTTAGTTGAGAAGAAATCCTCGTTCTGGAGCCTCCTGCTGAGCTCCAAATGTCTGATTCGGCACAGCTGGAGACATCAGGGCCACTTTAACTGCCCCTGTTCCCGCCTGTCTCTCTGCTTTTATGCTTTAGTTTTTGTTTAGTCAGAAAAGCCTTTTTTTTTCCCTGACATGATCAGTTTGGTGGTATCTTTACAAGCTGGAGAGTTGCATATCCGCGCTAAACCCTCTCGCTTTGGAAGGCATTTGCACATTAATCTTCCAGAATCTCGTACAGGGCCGCGCGCCACGCCTTCGAAATGATCCGCGACGGCTGCGGCTTCCGCGTGTTAAGAAAATAAATCAGCCTTGTGATAAAAGCAAAGAGGTAATTAAATGAGCTAATAGATGTTATTAGCTATTCATCAGCTGCAACTGCATTCAAACTTCCCCTGGAGGCTCAGTGATCCTCTCCAACAGGAAAAAAAAAAAAAAAGAAAAGTCTTTGAAACAGGTAGCGCGGCGCCGTCTTGAATACCAATTAGCTCCGAGTGCTTTGGTTTTTCGCAGCTCATCCGTGTGAATCATTCGACAACACAGTAGCCGCTTTTCCACGGCTGGCTAATTCAGCACAATGCCTGCGAGGGAGGCAGACAAGGAAGCGCCGCGGGGAGAATGTCACGAGTATTTGAGAAAGGTTAGACAGGGAGGAGAGCGTGTTGCTATCATACGCGCCATTCATCACGGCTCCTGTAGCGGGCTGCTCGGCGCTGACGCCAGTCCAGGTACCGAGGTGGTTCGTTTGAAGGTGGGACGACTGTGAGTCCTCGTTAGAAACAAAAAAAACAGCAGCTTCGGTTTGTTCAGATGCTTAAAATGGCTCAAGGTGTGTTTCTCTTATATGACAGGCGACATCTTGTTGGTGTAAATAAACAACAGCAGCATTTGGTTTGATGAGTTCATCTCCTCCGTACGCTTCACATCGCCGTCCACCATCTTGGAGCCGGCTTTCTGTACCTCCATCCTTATCTGTGTAACTTTCTGTCACCTACAGCAGCTGCTCTAATCTTTTACTCGTCTAATTGGCAGAACAGCCAGGATTTGCTCCTAACTTTGTTTTTCCATTTAGCTCTCCGGTCCTGGAAACACCTCCAGTTTCCCTAAAAGCTTTAATCATAAGATGCGTACCTGGAGAGTTTAATAGCCGCTATGACGGTGGATATTCTGGTGTTTTCCTCTGGAGTCATGATCACTTCTATAATCTCTGTCCTGGTATCATGGCGCACCTTCTTGGTCTCTCTCAGTAAACCGGATTATCATCTCAGGAGACTTCCTGGTCGAGTCTCAGTTAAATCCTAATATAAAACACACAGTGTGTTAATTGGGGGTTTTTAGAGGCTAATTCTGATTCCTTTGGACGAAGCCAGACGATTCCATTCAGTCTGATGATAAACCAAACAATGATCTTATTTCACACTGCCACTAACGCACTGGAAGTGAAATCAACTCAAACGCATCATGTGACAACTTCTCCTGCTGCTTGGTATGAAGAAATGAAAATAAAAATCTCATTTTCCACCACAGAAGTCTGTCTCTTTACATGAAGTCATAAAAGAACCTTAAAATTAGACAAAGCGATGTTCATATGCGCCTCCACGTGCAAACAGCAACACTAGCAGGAAAACAAAACCAAACGTCACTTTTAATGGACATATGTTTGTTCTAGAAAAGGTAAGACTGAGCTGATGCTGTTTCTGTCCTGCTGTACACGAGGCAGCTGGTCATTTAAACCTGCACTAAAATGAGACCAGAAAACCCATGTCGACATGAAACCACACGGCCTTACTGCACAGAGCGTCTTTTGGTGTGACGGGTTTACAGCCATTATTAAGCAAATTAATCAGAAATGCATGTTGGAGAAAGGTTTGAAAAAAAAGGGGCCAAAGCTTGTGGCCTGTACAGAGCAGAGGACTGGTCTTCATGATGAGCGCTACAAGCAGCAGGCGGCGGTGGCCAACGTACTGGACTGTAGACGGGGTTATGTGGTGGTGGAGACCCTGAGACTCACTGTGGAGGACGTGAAGAACGAGGTGGAGACAGAGGAGAGGATAGTGAGCAACCTGACATCTGCACACAACAGATTCATCAGTCGACACGTGGGCTGACAGGGATTATCTACACGCCTGAGTCAAAGATGCAGCTCTAAGTTGTTGGTTGGTTTAAATCCATACTTGCCTGTTTTGCTAAGAGGTCGCTACACATTTATGATGTTAGATGACTGTAATCAGAATCAGAATCAAATCAGGTTTATTGTCATGTTGCTGTACAGACACAGCAGCACAGGCAGGATGGGAGAGGATCAGGATCATTTAAGTTTCACAGAATGAACGTCTGGGATAGAGACACTGAACGTTCACTCTCGCTGCCTCCTGAAGGGGGCGCTGTGTCCATGCGTGCCGCCATCACCATGGCAACATAACAACTGTAACTTCAACAGATCATGGCGTCCCTGTCTGTTCTTGTACTAAATGGGCCTTGAAGTTATCACGCCGTCCCTGTGCACGGATAAATAAAGGTTATTACAACTAAACAGTGTGACGACGTAAAAACCAGATCTGACGCCACCCGAAGCTAAAACGTGTATTTTAGGATCCGAGGAGCGGGGAGGAATCCATGATGTGATATTTTTACCTCACTAAAGACATGAAAGCAGCTAAAGCAGCTTCTAAAGGAAGTTCTGAACACGTGATCTTGTGAAGGCACAAGTTGGAAACAGAGCCGTCACAGTGGAGTCCCACATCAGTCCGACCATCCAGTTTACAGTCATTTTCTTTTTAAAGCTGTTTTTCGTATATATGCTGCAGAAGGAACCAAACCAGTCCAGTGCAGCCTGGAAGCAAACCATCTGCTGGTCAGACCTTCACATGTAGCACAGACATGCGAGTGTCGGGAATCTTCTCCTAACTGACCAGAAGTGTTGGTCTCCTATCTGCTCTGAGCAAACAGCCTGCAGTTCATCCTGTTTACCGTAAAACATCTGCAACACGATTCTGATGGCAGCTGAGTCAACACTGACTGTCCGGTCGTGCTGAGGAGAAGATCGCTTTGTTTGTTTGTTTTTTACAGACTTTTTAAATGCGACAGTGAAGTCATTTTGATGAAGTATCACAGTTCTACCCTCTGATTTGATGAATTTTCCTCGCTGTCCTTCCATCTGTACTCTTTCTGGCTGATTAATGGGGTCATTTTGGGTATTTTTCTAAACTTTTTTATTTATTTTGAAGCTTTTCCAACCTGCAGGAAGGTCCAGAAGGTAAAAACAAGCGTTCAAATAAAGCAGAGAGTTAAAACATAAAGACTTCAATCCAACATTCGAATATTAATGAACACATTTTAAACAAATAAAGCAATAAAACCTTAGTAGTAAAGTCATTTTAAACAACAGCCAGTGAACCAACGGCACTCTCACCACCACATCTGAATACCTGGTGGGGCTTTAAAGTTTTATATTTACAGGTTTTCACATCATGACACCTGAACGCGTCGACATCACTGCATTCACAACCTTCACACTTCACCAGACGATCCTTTTCCAACATTTCACAAAACCTCGAGCAAACAAACAAACAGGAAGCTAAACTTCCCCGACAGCAACTCTGCAGAACGCGGAAGTTTATGGATTTAAGCTTTAATGAACTCATTATTGTGAGAATATTTTATGGGGCGGAGAATCCCAGGCAGCACGCGGCCATAAAAGAAAGACGAGAAGACAAAGAAAAAAAAAAAAAAAAGGAAGGGAATCATGTAGAGGACACGCTTGTAAGACGATAACAGCTCTCGAGGTCCGTTTTGAGGACTAATCTTTGTTCCTCAAATCAAACATAAAAGCCGATTCTCCGTGTTAATGAGCTCAATCACTCTTCCTAAGCTTCAATAATTCATTTGCTCCCCGATCGTCAGACATCCATAATGAATAACATCCACAGTGAATTATTTACACAGTCATCCTTCGCGGCGCAACTTACTGACTGACACCGAGTCGCCCGGCGTGTCTGACGGGCCGCCGGTGATCTCGTACCGACATTTGGCGACTTCCTGTTTGAAGAACAACCCAACTAAAGGCTTTTCTTTAACGTGTCCGGTCCAGCATCACAGCAGAACGACGATCTGGCTGCTGTGTGCTGAACACATTTGCTCCTCTTGATTTTTGTCTATTTATTTATGTGTTCATTCTATTTTATTTCATTTATTTTGAATGCTTGCTTACATATGAATGTAATACTGCTGGACCTGATAGAGGGAAAGTGTGCAGAAGTGAGAAGGAGAGTGAAAGGAAAACAGAAGATACGACATACTACCGACTGCTACACAAGCGCACAGTGGAAAACATCTTTTGCAGGAGAACAGAGCTGATAATCATCCAGAGCGCCTGTAAGAGACGAACAAGCTGAGAGAACCTGAATCTCAGCGATGACCAGAAATGAGGGAAAAGAAACAACAAAAACAAACTGCACATGTCAGGAGAAATAAATAAAGTAGGTATCAGTGCAGACAATGCAGTGTCATCTTAGACCCAACTAGCAGCTAATTACAGCTGAGAGTGTGTTCTGCCAGCTCCCCCATCAGCCCAGAGCAGGGACCTGCACACAAGAGGGAAGGAAAAAAAAAACGCTTTATTATTTGACTTGCAAGAAATTGGCACAGATAAAGTGGAACTCTGCAGGATGAAGGTTATCCAGGGCCGCAGTGCCAAAGTCTGGGTTACATCATGGGCTGGAAGTTTTTACATTTGTGAAATGCCCGGCAGACCACTCCCCTCCAAACTTTGCTCCCGCGGACTCAGTCAATAAATTCCCCCTGTCACAGCCTTCTGCCTTCAATTCGGGGGGCAGAGGAATCACAGCGGCCATGGCGATGAGGGCAACACTGACCTGGCTCTGCTCACTCGCAGGTAATCTCACGCCTATTTGTGTGTTTTATGAAATGGAGAAGATCACAGAGGGAGACAGTGCATGTCCAGCCCTCGCTGTGTGGCTGGAAAGATAAAGGACCGGCCAGAACCTTTCATTCAGCGCCGTGTGTTTGTTTGGTTGCAGTTTTGTGCTGCTCTGCTGCCCAGGAAACGGGACGCGACAACTGCTCCTCACTAACTCAAGTCTTCCACCGTCTGCCAGCTGATCTCAAGGTAAATTAAGGCCATCCCGTGAGAGACATGCACAGAAGTGGAGCTCACATTTTGCTTTGTGGGAAAAAAAACCCTCTGAACCCCAAAGCCTGCAGCGCATTTTAACAGCAGGTTGTTGTTTTAGCAAATCACCAAAGTTGTCATCATTTATCAGGACAACAATCAGGAACATTTGTTGGTTTTCAACTCGTCGTATTTCATCAGAATCACTTTATTCTACACATTTTTTTTAAACGTCCTGAAGTCTGTAAAAAGCACAAAACTGTGCAACCTTTTATGTATTATGATTTACTGACCAGCACGCAAGTGACCAAAATTCAATGTGTTTGGCTGAACTTCAGGCTGTGTTTAGGAGAAAAGTATAGAAACAAATTAAAATGCAAACTGTTTAATACATACAGTCGTCCTCACATGTATTCCTCCCATCAAAGAAGAAAAAAAAAAAAACAGCTTCAGTCACTGGAATAAGCTGAAATCGACAAAAGTAATAAAAAATAAAAATGTAATGGACATCATGACATTGTTTTTGAATTGTGGTTCAACAGAAATATTACAAACAAAAACAAAAACCAGCCTGATGAACCCGTGAACTACTATCTAGCTGAACAACCCTCTGAGCCAATCACTGCCATCAGCTGTTTCCTGTAACTCTCAGTCAGACTTGTGCACCTGTTGACAGGTGTTCTGGACCACTGCTCATCAGCAAAGGCTCTCATTGGTCCACTGCTCATCAGCAAAGGCTCTCATTGGTCCACTGCTCATCAGCAAAGGCCTCTCATTGGTCCGCTGCTCATCAGCAAAGGCCTCTCATTGGTCCACTGCTCATCAGCAAAGGCCTCTCATTGGTCCACCACAGTTTTGTTTGTTTTTTTAAATTATTCTTTCCAACCACAATTCAAAAGCAACGTCTTATTTCACTCAATAATAATTTTGCAAATTTTCACTTCTTATTACTTTTTTAAAATTATTATAATTTTTTTTTAGTTTGTAGTTATTTGGGTGACTATTGTGAATTTTGCCGTTTCTTTAATAGAAGGATATGAATACGTTTGAGGACGACTGTATGTACATATTTTCGTAAAATTTTATTTATTTATTTATAGAGTTTGTGAAAAAACAAACAAACATAAAATTCTCTACTTCTTTGTGCAACTGCGAAGTCATCATTTATTCTGCTGTGACCAAGAATCACTTCACAAAAATCAGGGACTTTTTTGGCTGAACTGCAGGATGTGTCCTGTCAACAAATAATAATAATAATAATAATAACAATAAGAATAATTTTTAAAAATTAAAAAAAGAATTACTCTAGTATTCGAAAACAAAATGTATATGTTGATTTGAGTGTTTTTAAAATCAAGATATTCAATACAATCACTATATTCTCACTTTAAAAAAAAAAAAAAAAAGTAAGTTGTAAAGTATCTCCAGTATGTAGAGCCACCATTTTTTCCAGTACACATGTTGATCTGAATGTTTTTGTGGTTTATGGCATTACGACTGTGTCACACTGCACAGAACACATATGTGAGCTCTCTTAACTTCTAGCCATAGTTCTCCACGGAGGTGCAGGACTTTGTTTTTAAGTGAAAACTGAGCCAGCAGTGAGTAAAAATATGACAGAAGCAAAAAAAAACCAAAAGTTCAGAGGGTTAAATTTCTCTCATTTGTAATGTTCTTTCCATGTATGACATTATAAGAAAGGAATAAAGTGAATGTCGTGTCTGATATTAACCAAAAGGTGGCAGCAGAGTGTGGACAAAGCCCTCCGTCCACCTGGACGCCACAGCAGACGGCTTCACTGCTGCTGTACATGAGGAACGTGACCGACGCTCTGCACCAACACCAGCTGAGAGGTGGGAGGACGGCAGCAGACCTGTGTGTCTTCTGTGTGCTGCATCTTTGTCAGAAGTGGTTTAGGTAAAAGCTAAAGGTTACCACGTGAGCCACGGTCTGTATTTCTGGGTTATAAGATCCATTTGTTGTCATCTCTAACTACGTCTGGGTGCTGATTCACACCAAAAGCTGGTTTTCAGCCACTAAAGTGTCTTAAAGTGGAAACTGAAGCAGGATAACGAGCTGCACTGCAGGTTCACGACCTGATCTGATGTTTCATATTCTAATGATTCAGGCTCAGCTTCACTAAAATGCCTAAAAGTTCTAACTAGCAGCAGCCACAGTGACTCCAGAGGAGGTGGAGAGACTTTCTTTTTTACATTTTTTTACCCAAATTCATTAACACTGATGATTAATTTAATTAAAGATCGGCCTGGACTCGACTTTAACGATGCAGAGACTTAGTTTTTATAGCCACCGCGGAAACTTCAGGATAATTTCCAGACTGAAGTACACTGCAGCGACTCTGATGGTCATTTTCACACAATCAGAGCACTCGAGGAGACTGCCGGGGCTCACCAAAATTATCCCATTCCTCCAGGCACTTGGAGTCTAACTCTGAATTAAATGAACTCATTTGCAAATGAGTGGCTGGTTCAAATGGGAGGTTTACTACCTGCTGAAGGCTCTCATCATTGATTAAGATGAAATGTTGTGGTCTAGCGTTTTCAGAGTAATTGGAGAGTGGCTTTTCATGTGAGGCGGGTGTTTACTGATTGGAGGACGTGTTTTCTCAGAGGAGTCGGCGCAGACGACAGCAGGAACAATACGACGATGCGCATGGAACGGACAATCTACAGTTTAAATGTTTTATGATCTGCGCTGATTAAATATTCATTGACTTATAGAATGCCAAGGCGCCGAGCCAACAAGATGCCCGGAAGCCGAGGTGCCCAGTAATGGGGGGCTGGCATGCGTCACAGTTGGCAACAAGCGCTACTGCAAACCTCTGTGCAACCACGTATGCATCACACACAACACTACATATATTGTCCACATTTTCATTTTATTTTTTGGGAGCATGTAATATAGTTTTCTCTCACAGGGATTCGACTTTGGCTTCCTGAGGAGGAGTCGTGTGTTCGATGAATGCAGCGAGCAGACGGGATATAAATGGCAAACCCCGTACGTCGGAGGAAACAGGCTGGCTGTGTGCAACCGTGAGGCCGTCCGCTTCCTACCATCCTGCAGCTGCATTTATTCACTACCTGCTAACAGCTCAAGTCATTTCACAAAACACAATCTGTTCTTACACGCAGTTGTTTTTGTGTATTTCCAGAAGCATTGACTCAAATTTCGGGAGCAAAGACGGCATATTTTCCCAAAGACCAGGACTGCCGCTCGACCAAGAGCAGCAGCCAGCTGACCAACAGCGTCATCGAGGCTCTCGCCGCCGAGCTGAAGGCTCAAGAAATAAACGGAGAGCCGCAGCACGCCTGTCTCGTCTGTGGATAACGGGAACAAACAAGTGTAGAAAAATGCATCAGCCGTGTCAGGGATGTTGTGGAATAAAAGATTCAGTAAACGTGTTCCTGAGCCTGGATGGTGTTCTTGTGTTTGCAGTCTGAATTCAGTGTCCGTACACACAGATTTACAAGCTTCTTTCAGAGGGAGGAAGCAGCTACACGTGTTTATATCAAGTGTTTTCATGCAGTTTTATGACTGGGAATAACTATTTCTTCCTTAGTGGAGTTACTCAACTAGTTCAGAGTGTTTGTGTGCAGGTTGCATCAGGAAAAGTGGCCCAACAGGTTCACCTGAGAAGCTATATTCTCATTTCTACGTTTTTGTTTTGTTAAACTCAGCATTTCTTAAATGGCACAGACAATATAAAGATCTACCGTCCAGTAAAAAGTCATTCTGCTCACTAACAGCTGTTAACTTTGTGTTTCTCCTTTGAGGATCTGGACAAACTCTGTTATTCCCCGCACTGCGTACGATAATAAACCTGCCAACAACCCGGCAAAGTGTTTCGTGTTTTCCAAGTTCAACAATTAGAGCAATTTTTCGTTCCATTTAACTTCTGATGCAGTCGCGCTTTTTTGCCGCATCAGATGTGATAAATCGTTGGGATTTCTGGGTCTTCACCGCTCTGTAGCAGGGAAAGACATTCAAAGTTTAACCTGCAGGAACCAGAGGAAGCCTCACAGCCTTCTGCGACGTCAGTCAGGAGTCTCTCTGTCCTTCTGTGGCCCTTTTTAGTCCAGTTCAAAGCAGAGCACCAAAGAGCTGACCTAACCGAACAGCTGAAGTGAAGGGATGAGACACACTTCTATGACGACACGCTGCTTGGAAGCAACTGAATGAACTCAGACTTATGTTCATTCGCATTTTGATGAGCTGCTCAGTCGATCTCTCCCAGTTTACACACCTCAGCAAATCATCAGAAGTCTGTAAATCCTTTGTGGACTGAAAATACAGACAACCAATAAATGACCAGCCACATGCCGTCGCCTACAGATAAACCTCCACGCAGGTTTCTCGCCTCCATCATGCACGTCTTGGTCTGTGTGCATTTCGCAGAGGGCAGGAGAACCATGTTTATGTCGCAGATTTCAAACTGTGGGCACAGCTGGCAGGAAGGTCTGCAGGCGGCCTCGAGAAGTCTGCATCAGAGCCCTCGTGCACTTGGCACGAATGCATCTCAAGGTCCAAGAGTGTGGAGGATGAGCCAGCGTCTCCGCTATCAGGCATCTGTTGTCCCTCCTGTAGAGACTGATTTTAGATTTCTGATGTTAAAAGAAAACACATTCTTGACTTATTCTGGTGCAACTTAGTGGTTATTACTTCTAGAAACAAAACTACATTCAACAGCAGCTTTGTCACGAGAATTCATTGCGTCATCGGTTTGAAATGACAGCAATCAAACAAAATCCAGTAAACACAGAGGAACGGAGGAGCTCGGAGGAGAGCTGCTGCAGATTTGCATCAAAAGGACCCGTTAAGGTGGTTCAGGCGTCTGATTAGGAAGCCTCCTTAATGCTGGAGGTTTTCCTGACATGTCCGACTGGGAGGAGACCCCGAGGTCGACCCAGAACTCAGATTACATATCTTATCTGGCCTGAGAACTCCCCCGGATCCCCCAGGAGGAACTGGGGAGCTTTACTGGGGGGGAGGGACGTCTGGAAATCCCTGCTCAGCTCATCAGTACCATGATTGGAGGAGGGAAGCAGATGGATGAGCAGATAAATGGCTTCATCCTTACATTCACATTAACGGCGATGCGTCTGCCTGCCGTCTCACTTCATTCTGCTAACAGTCAGTCACTATTTACGTTCCTGATGGCAAAGATCTGGACGAGAGCGGCGGTTAAAACGAGGTTAACCACTCGGCCAAATGGACCGCTAAGTCTGCTGTTCTGTCTGCTCGTGTTTTTTTTTTTTTGCACCGAGACGCAGGTCAAGGTTAAAAAGTCGGAGGGAGATTGCGGGATCTCATTAGGTGGCCATCGACGTTCCACATCATTCTATTAGGAATCACTGTAATCAGAGAGACAACGACCCGCAGAATGACCCTCTGGTGTCGGCCCACGGACCGTCTAATCATCAATTATGAAAATAACTGTCTGTGGGCTGAGGGATTAACGGTGGTAGGCTCACAGATCTACCAGCAGGTGGCAGCAGAGTAAACATGATGTTTTTTCCTTGTAATATTTCTACCTGGCAACCCACTCTGATGTCTCTGCTTCCACATATTCCACACATTTTTAAAAATAGATTTTCTTATTATGAGGTTTTTGCACAAAGCAAAAACTGAAGTGGACTCTGAAATAGTATTTTAACAAAAGGTGACAGCAAAGAAGCACAAATACAAATTGAGGGAGAAGATATACGGAATAAATGAAATGGAGAAAAAACACAAACAAAAAATTAAAGGAAAGAACATTACAAAACAGAAATCTACACTTAACAGAACCTAAAGATTACGGTTTGTTTTCCTGATGCTCATCAACCGGATAGAAACTTTACAAACAAACAAATGACAATTTGCATGTTGTCAGAAACTTGTTCTGTTGGACTTTGACAGTAAAAGTACTTCCTTCCATCTTGAAGATATCATAAATAATGACTGTATTTATGGTTTTAGCACTTTTCTTCGTGCTGGCTGCTTAAAATCTGTAACAGAAAGCTCGTTTGATGGCGTGCCGCTGAAGTACAGGGTTTGTAGTTTAAATGGAAAGTCCAGAAATTAAACACTTTTTGCAAAATACTTTCTGCAAAATCATATGAACCTCCTGCCAGTAAGGAATTAATAACGAGACCAGAATACGCGACAGTGATTTGCCTCGGTAAACCCACAGTGCCACTTTAACATTTCACAGTCATGGAAACTGTCCGTGGAACTGTATTAAATTGGCTGAAATGGACAAAAGCGCTGCCATGGTTCCTTAAAAAAAAATAACCCTGACTGCCACATTTTTACACTGAAATAATTACTGTGTTCACTCTGGCTTGCAGAATCCATTCTAAAAAGAAAAAAAAAGTCAATCTGAACAAATATGCAGGATGAAAAATGTGCAAACGGCAGAATCAGTTCAAGAGGACGCAGGCAGAAGAAGTCATTAAGTCCTTCAAATAAACATACACGCAGCCTTCATTCACACAGAATTCTTACCATGGCCAGAGAATGCAGATTTTAAAGACACTTGAGCAGATACTGTTTGACTTCCTGACATGAAGTGTTCCCAGAGGTTTTTTTTTCAGTTTTGGAGCATGAAGCAATAAGAAGCACTTGGTATGATGTCACTGTTAAGCTGAGCTAACGTAACACAGCCGTGACTCGATAATCGACCCTAAACAATCCTAAACCTGCTATCCGACAGGTTTTAAGGAAAAACCAACAGAACCCATAAAAACAGCCTTAACATAGCGACAGTCTTGGATTGTGACTCCGACATGACATTTAATGTCACCAATCAGGATGACGGCGTATTATCTGACTGAACAATCCCACAGATTGGCTACGTTCACACTGCAGGACTTG